TCCACATGCAAAACATGACATGGCTCTTTTTAAAATCCTTCTCACAGTGGTTAATCGAATCCTTTGTTATAAAGGAGTATTCATGTAGGCTCAAAGGACAGATATCATTTTATAATATATCTATAATATATATCTATTTCTATGATATATCACATTTCTATATATGTGTCATAGGGTACATTTTCCATTGGATAAGCTGTGTCTATACAAAATAACAAAGGTATCTGGTTTTATGGATGAAGGGGTGCAAGATATCATCATTGCCAATAATTATGTATTCATTTTCTAAACGCTTCTATATAAAACATGTTTGGTGTGATGGTTCATTGCCTCTCACCTAGATTACATGAATAACTCGGTTATAATGTTACCATTCACAGCCACCCAGACACACAAATTGTTATACTGTACAACTCCACTGTGCATTCCCTTTCATATAAATAAATGACTTAACCTTGATAGAACTATTGATTAAGTTTGCCTAGCACTTACCATTACACTTGTGTGTGTGTATGTGTATGTGTTGTTACTTTTAACTTTGCAAAATTGTAGGTGTTTGGGTGGAAAATTTCCACAGTGGATGTCGGCCTGAGATTCAATGAGTCTCTAAACAAAATGGGCATTAACAGACATGCTTGTTAGCATTCTACTAATCGAGTCTGCTCCACATGCTAATTGGAACAGTCCAGTGTTGCCTCAGCGTCATATGTATTAAGCCCCCCCCGCATTTCCAAATGGCCATGGGAGCACTTTCACTAAAGCTTATTCACTAAAGCTTAGTTAATGTGCCCTCATGGCCATTTTGAAAAGCAGGGGGGCTTAATATACATGACGGTGAGCTGTTTTAATTAAAGCAGCTGTCCAGGAACCACTCTAATTAAAATTCCTTCCCTCCCTCCCCCTGAAAAAAGGGAATAATTTTACCATGTTAAAACCTTTCTGGTAACTTGTTTTAGGAAAAACTCTAAACACTCTGGTAAGGCCGCACCTGGAGTACTGCATCCAGTTTTGGGCTCCACAATTCCAAAAGGATGTGGAGAAGCTTGAGAGGGTGCCGAGGAGAGCCACATGCATGATCAGAGGTCAGAAATACAGCCCTTATGATAAAAGGCTGAGAGCCATGGGACTCTTCAGCCTGGAAAAGCACAGGCTCAGGGGTGATCTGGTGGCCACCTATAAGTTTATCAGGGGTGCTCACCAGGATCTGGGGGAATGATTGTTCACCAGAGCACCCCAAGGGATGACAAGGTCGAACGGTCACAAACTCCTCCATGACCGTTTCAGGCTGGACATAAGGAAGAACTTCTTTACTATCCAAGCCCCCAAGGACTGGAATAGATTTCAGCTGGAGGTGGTTCAAGCACCTACTTTGAATGCCTTCAAGAGATATTTGGATGTTTATCTTGCTGGAATCCTATGGCCCCAGCTGGCTTCCTGCACCTGGGGCAGGAGGCTGGACTCAATGATCTTCCAAGGTCCCTTCCAGCCCTAGTGTCTATGAATCTATGAATCTATAACACCCCCATGCTTTGAAGCAGAGATGTAAAATTTGGCAGGTGCAGTTTTTACCATCACTGTGGAAACATGCCCATATTTGCCCAAATCACAAGGCTTTTAAAGATTTGTTCCCACATCCTATAAGTGACTTCCTAGACTTTGGCAATAAAATCTCCAAGGAGTCCCTCCACACTGGGCATGTTTCAGCCCCTCACAGCTGCTACTAGCAATCAGCAAATGCCTGAGCAGTCCATGAAAAGAAACTAAGATTGAGAGTTTGGTGAGGGAAAAAACCTGTACTGTCTGAGCAAGAAGGCTGGGGCTGGGAACTAGGGTTGGAATTAAGGAGGAATCTGGGAGCAAGTTGCATGAGGACAGTCTAAGATCAGATAAGAAGCAAAACAGGGAGGTGGGGAAACCTGGACTGATCATTCATATGGGGTGAATAGATAATGTAAGGGCACCCGATTCATCCCCTAAATACAGTGTATGCAGTGCATCGAATGAGGCAAGTGTCCTGTGGGGAAAAAAATAGAATGCAAGCATGTAATTAAACACTGTGTCAAAATGCCCATGCACTAAGAGGTCAAACAAAGGTTGCATTAATGGAAAGAGAGGTGGATGCCTATATCCATATTCACAACAAAAAAATATGGTCGGCATTAATCTCTGTTTGAAGCCAATGAAAACTACAGATGCATAGCACCTCTAAAATTCAAATGTATACTATACATATAAGTATACATGCAATTTTAATAAGTTTTTAATAGCCTTTAAGCCATTTTTATAAGGCCTGAATATTTCTTCTGCTTTTATACATCTACCTAAAACTAAGAAAGGCATTTATAAACATCTTCATTGAACATCTATGTGGACAGACTGCCTGAGACCTCTTACCTATTTCTGGGTTCTTGTTGCTGCCTTTTAATGTGCAGTCCTTGGCCATTTGTACTCAAAGACATGAGCAACTTCAACTTGATAGCTCTGTCATCCTTGCTTCAGTCACAGTTCTTTTGCTAGTTTATAACATCAATCATTCGGCCTATAAATCTTTGCAGTGGATATGGCCATTTAAAATCTCCACCTGCACAAACAACAATCAGGCATAGAAAATAAGAAAACTCATAAATCTGCATTCTGGTGATTAGTAATTTTTGGATCTGTAACCAGGGTGTTACAAAGAAAGAAACCCCAATTCATTAATTAGGGCTGATATGCTGACAATTTGTTTAGTTTATAGCACAGGGAAAACACAAACAGGGCACAGTTAACATAACATGACGTTAGAGGTTAGCGAATTCCCAACAGAGCCCAGAGCTGGGAGATAGGATATCTTAATGCACTTATCCTATTGTGAGTGGGGGGTGTTATCTTGCAGTAGAATGGCAAGAGTTGGTTTAAAGTTTTAGGTCAGGACTACTTCTCTTGGCCTATTTAATTCAGAGAATACTCAAATGGATAAACAGGTAAGAGAGATGATCATTGCTTATTATGATCTGTATCTACACCTTGCTCCTCTGCAGCAATTTTCATCTGAAGATTTCATAGTACTTTGTAAACATCTACTAGCTGAGAATAGTATCCTTGTGAAGTAGTTTGTGGTGTTTTTACTACGTACATTAGGGTTGTTGGTTGTAGTCGCGTTGGTCTAAGAACATAAGCAGACAAGGTTCTTTGGGTAAATGTAATATTAGACCAACTAAATAGCTGGAAAAATTGTTCTTTGCAAGCTTTTGGACACAACAACCTTCTTCAGGCATATCAAGAGTCTACTGGTGAATTGTGTGCTCTTCTGTGTAGAATAGAAGTCAAAATGTGCTGTTGAGTTTGGTTTTTTTCTTTTTCATGTTGTGAAGTTTCCATTTCAAATGGCAAAATTTGATATCTTCCCTACTTTAGGGTTCTTGGTTGTAGCCATGTTGGTCTAAGGACATGAGCGACAAGGTTCTTTGAGTAAATGTGATATCTTTTATTAAACCAACTACATATAGGAGGACTGAGGCAATGCTCACAGAAGTCAATGAGAGGCTTTCCAAAGGCTGGTTTGATTTGATCCTGCATGTTTCAGTCGTGTCTCGCCTAAATTTTTAAACAAGTCTCCTGAGTAATTGTCTTCCCTTGAGACCAAATCATGTATTCTGGAGTCACACCAGGGCTGTCTCTACATGTGGATCTACTTCCTGAAACAGCCTTGTTCTCTCCTCCCACACATGTACCCAACCCAGTCTGCAGGGACTTTATTGGGTCCAAGATCTGTGAGTGTAGAGGGAACAAGATAGGGAAGGAAATGTAGCAGGCTGCATTTACTCTTCTGCCTATAATGGGTCCAGGGAGAAGAGGAGTTCAACTATTGGCCTCAAAGGGAGAAGAATTAGGCCAAAACCAATTCTTTTTGAAAAGCCTATTAAAGATTCATTAAAAAAATAAAATCTTTACCTGGGTCTTAACCTACAGAGTTATGTTTAGACATTCAAATGATCAGTGCTGAGCTAAATCTGCACTCCTTAAAATCCCTGGTAAAACTCCCTTTGACTTCAACAGGATGAAGCCAAAGCTGCTTACTTTTGAAATTCCCCACTCTATGGACCTCCCCATGCCCAGGAAAAACTCCCTCGTCTTTGGTTTTGCATTACTCCAGCTATGTACAACTAGCATCTACTACTTAATGTGAATGAAAGACACGGCATGCTCTTTACAAGAAATATATGTAATTAAATGGATGTTTTATTTCAAAGCAGTTTACTATGCCATTCTTGTAATACTGGTAAAACGATTATTCTGCCTACATACAACTGCATGTTTATTTCAGTGTTGTTAAAAGCAGTCTGACCTGAATACAGAAAGCTTTGCCTGTCTATAGGAAGAATGCCACAGAGCTTTGCAGGGTGGGTTGCCTTAAGATGCACCCTAGAAATCACTACAGAGCATCTTCACAGATGGCATTTTTACAGACACTCTCTTTTCTACCTTGAATCACTCCCACTGTAGTGTCTCCTCTACTTACCTTTGGTGTTTTTGCCTCTTTTGCTTTTTTTTTTCCTCCCTCCTTTCCCTGCTTTACCTTTTGTCTTTCAAATTTCTACCTACATACATTCTCACTGACATCCTGCCACACTTTTGGCTTCTCATTCCTTGGAGTCTCAGAACAGCAGAGACTCCCTGTGCCTGAAGAAGGGTGATTGTGCCTGAAAGCTTGCTAAAATCTTTTCTTTTTTTCCCCCAACTACTCAGTTGATCTAAGAAAAAATATCACATCTATTCAAAGAACCTTGCCTACAGGGCATCTAGGAATTAGGGACGCACTACAGTCCTGCCCCCTGTAGTATAAAACATATATTTTTTTGATACAGGGAAACTCAAACACTGTGAGCTTACAGAGACTTGCCACAGGTCACACAGGGAGCCTGGAAAGGCTCAGATCGCCTGGCTCCAAGCTCTGTGCTTCCAGGCCAGGACCATGCTACTGAGTATCAGAGCTCTCTTCCTGGAAGCAGTAGTAGCCAGGCAGGATACAGTCTCAGATCATCATCCACAGACTTCTTTCAGATGAGGCTACCGGACAGAGGCTGGAAGGGACCCTCTGGACATGAGTTGCCTGGGTGGCGCCGCTCCTGCCCCATCCTGCTTCCTGCAGGTGTCTGTGACAAGGGTAACACTAGACTCCTGGGTCCTGGAGGAGGCAAGGGGAGGGGTGGGGGGTGTCTCGGGCAGCTGGTGGATCCCCGATGTGGAGATCGCAGAGACCTCACTCTCCCCTCCCCTCCTGCTTCCCGACCAGAAGAGCCTGGAGCCTGTGGATGTGGTGAGCAGCCAGCAGCAGTGGGCCGGGCAGGGCTCCTCCCCTGGGCTGCTGCAAGACCCGCCTCTCTATTCCCCAGATAAATTACTAGTGTCCTCATCAAATTCCTCGGCTTTCTCTCTCTCTCTTCCCCTGCCTCCCTCCCGGGCCAGGAGGGGGTGGGCGGGGATCCTCTCTGAACTGCCCCAGGGCTTGGGGGGGCGCCTGCAAGCAGCTCCGGGTCTCCCCCCCACCCCCCACCATGTCCACGGGCTCCCTGAGCGATGGGGAGGACCTGCAGGAGGGGGAGATGCTGGACTGCGACGGCCTGAAAATGGATTCTAGCAAAGAGTTTGGGGCGTCCACCGAGAGCAACGAGGAGGGCTCCACGTGCGAGCACGGCTCCCCCCCCAAGGGCCGGGGGGCGGCGGGCAAGAGGAAAAAGGCTCCCCCGAAGAAGAGCCCGCTGCACGGGGTGAGCCAGGAGGGCAAGCAGGTCCAGAGGAACGCGGCCAACGCCAGGGAGCGGGCCAGGATGCGCGTGCTCAGCAAGGCTTTCTCCAGGCTGAAGACCACCCTGCCCTGGGTGCCCCCGGACACCAAGCTCTCCAAGCTGGACACCTTGAGGCTGGCCTCCAGCTACATCGCGCACCTGCGGCAGATCCTGGCCAACGACAAGTACGAGAACGGGTACATCCACCCCGTCAACCTGGTGAGTGGCATCCCGGCCGCGGGGAGAGGCTCCGGCATCTTCCGCAGGGGCTGCTCCAGCCTGCGGCCGGGCAGGGGGCAGGCGGCACCAGGCGCCTTCACCACGCACTCATTCAAACCAAGGCAGCTTCAGCTCTTGGAGGTCTGGCCACAGTGTCGGGCTGCGGGAGACCTCAAGCAGAGCATGGCATGCCTTTGGCACGGGCACACGCGCACCCACACCCCGTGCACGCCCATAATGTCGTGGTGAAATGTGTAGCCCAGCACCCGGCCCGGGGGCTGCCCCGGGGGGTCGCTGCTTCCAGGCGGGTCCCTAGTCCAGGGCACCAAGCTCCTGGACTCTGCTATGAAAGAGCACATGCAACAAAACTCTGTCCTCGAGACTGCTGCTACTAATACTTATTACTGTTGTTGTTATTATTTCCTGAACTCTTTGCTATGAAGGAGCACATGCAACAAAACTCTGTCTTCAAGACTAATAATTATTATCATTACTGTTGTTGTCATCATTTCCTGGACTCTTTGCTATGAAAGATCACATGCAACAAAATTCTGTCTTTGAGACCAAAATAATAATAATGATAATAATAATAATTTCCTGGACCCTTTGCTATGAAAGATCACATGCAACAAAACTCTGTCTTTGAGACCAAAATAATAATAATGATAATAATAATAATTTCCTGGACCCTTTGCTATGAAAGATCACATGCAACAAAACTCTGTCTTTGAGACTACTACTACTACTAATAATAATAATAATTTCCTGAACTCTTTGCTGTGAAGGAGCACATTGCAACAAAACTCTGTCTTTGAGACCAAAATAATAATAATATTAATAATAATAGTAGTAGTAATAACAATAGTAATAATAATAGTAGTAGTAGTAGTATAATTATAATAGTAATAATAGTACTAGTAATAATAACAGTACTAGTAGTAATAAATCTACTACTACCCTAAGTATATTAGGGGATATTAGGGATTTATATGATATAATTTATATGATATTTCTAATCCTATGAGTTATTATTATACATAATAATAATAAAAAAGCCAACCCATGGGTTTCCATTTTCCAAGATGTATGATGTTCACACCATCACAGAAAGTTAGGGTTGGAAGGGACCTCAGGAGGTCATCTAATCCAACCCCCTGCTCAAAGCAGGATCATGTTGTCCAGCCACATCATCCCAGCCAAGGCTTTGTCTAGCCAGGGCTTAAAGACCTCCAAGGATGGAGAGTCCTTGATACATGTTTCTGTATCAAGGTATATTTGAAATAGGGGAGGGGGGTGGTGGACTTTGAATCTTAAACATCACAGGGAAGTAGGGCTAGAAGGGACCTCCAGAGGTCATCTAGTCCAGCCTCCTGCTTAAATCAGGATCATCCCTGTCCAAACCATTTCCTACAGATCTCACCTATTAGCAAAACTAGGAATTACCTAAATTAAGCACAGATTTAAAAGACGTGGTCGGTGGGGGGCGGGTTTACATAATGGTGTAGAAAGAGTTAGAAACACCGACGTCTCTCTCAGATCTAAGGGCGGGCACGCTTCACTATCATCGCAGATCTCCAAGGGGTGGCCACTGTGTTGGGGTATTCTCAGGGCAGGCAGGTCGATCCATCCGAGGTCACTGTCGCACCTACCTCTTTGTGGGCGTGAGGGGATCCTGATTTAATCGCAGGGGCAAACAGTTGTGATCCAGTAAGTGTTGTGGTGGCTAACACAGAGAAGGTGGTTAGCCTAATTGGAAGCCATTAGGGTTCTTGCTGATCCCTCTCTTTATTAACAGAGATTGAGAGATGCTCAACAGCAGTTCCTTAGTTCTCAGCCCGATCCAAAACAATAAGGAAGACACCAAATAAATCCATTTTTTTTCTTTAAAAAAGTGGTTCAATTACATCTGTTTAAAAAAAAAATTAAAATGTGAGGATATGTTTGAACCCGGCATTTTATAGCGGGGATTTCAATGGCATTCTTTTTCTTGAAGTGTCTTCCCGGAGCCTCATGCTCCGTGGGGGTGAAGGGGGTAGTAGTAACGGGGTGGCTGTCCTGGAGGAGATCAGGATCAAGATCTCCTCCAGGACAGCCACCCCTAGTTACCTCTCCCCGGGAGGAGATCCTGATCTCTCTGGGAATACGTCTCTTGTGGCTGGACACCGCAGGCCGCTGTGCCCGTGGTCGGGGCCAGGCCGGGGACACCCCGCCGCCCCCTCGCTATTGCGGGGCAAAGCCTGAGCCCCCCGGCCCGGCGAGGTCTGCGGGGGCGCCCAGCGGGGGTGCAGGAGGGCAGGAGCCGGCTTGCGATCAGTATGGTCGGGCTGCAGCTCTCGGCCAGAGGGCAATTGGTTTTCCTTCTCAAAGCAGAGGGGCAGCCCCTGGGACCCCCCCTCCGCAAAAATCCAGGAGACTGCCTGGGGTCTGTCTCCAACTGTTAACAATGCCAGAGGTTTCATTTCCAACAGAAATGCTGGGAGGAATAAAAGCCCCAGCGATCCCTCCCATGCAGGCAGACGGGAATGAATGCCCACGGGATACAGCCCTGAGGAGCCCCGCCGGGGTGCCCTATCTCAGCCCCTTCGTACTGCTGGGCGGGGGGTGGTGTCTTCCCTGGCTGCAGACTTGGCCCTTTATGGTGGCAGGCAAACCGGAGAGTGAGCTGAAAGAAGTGGTGAACACAAATCGCTTGTGCGGACCTACAGCATCCTGACCACCCGCCAGCAGAGGAGCCAGCCTTCAATGCGCGTGCTGGGGGCGGAGGGGGGCCAGCAGGAGAAAGGTGGGGACCACCCCCACCCCACCCAGGGACACCGCCAAGCGACCCGAAGAGCCGAGCGCATCGCCCCGAGGGGACCAAATGTACCTTAGCAAAGACTCCACCCCAAAGACTCCCCCGCCCCCGGTATATTTAACTTTATTAACGTCTGTACAGTCGATCGTCCTGCAACGCAGCCTTGCTGGTTCGAGTGCCAGCGTTGTGTGCGAGATCCCTCCGTCCACCCCCCAGCCTGCCCGCCTGTCTCTTCTTTTGTACGATACTTGTGACATATGTAGATGCCTAGAATACTGGACTTTGATAGTCGCAGCTCTAAATACGCGGTAAAGATATATGGATATATTTTCTTCAGCCAGGTCTTGCTATATTTCTGTGAATAAAACCTTCCTTTCTATATGAAAAACACAAACCCCCCCCCACCAGCCGTGTCGTTTTCGTTTCCACCTCCCAGCGCTTTGCGGAAGGGCCCGGCTCTCCCGAAAGGCACCGCTTTTATGTGGGCTGAGGCGTCAGGCAACAAAACTCTTTGACCCCAGGTTAGATGAGGTGTTTATTTTCCTAATTAAAACGATTTAGACCATATCCTTTTGGGGGGAGGAACGGGAGGGGGTTGGGGAAAAAATGAATAACGGTGACCTGTCAGTTTGCAGCTCTTTATCACCATAATAATAATAATACTAATCATCATTACTGTTGTTGCTGATGTTGTTATTATCATCATTATCGTGATCGTGAATGTCATCGTTATGAACTATGATCCCTGATCGCTTTCATCATCGCTTCTCGGCCTCTTGAAGGCTCAGATCAAGTATTATTATTATTATTATTATTATTACTACAAATCTGGAAAACAACCCGCATCCCAAGCAGACTGGCTAACCCCCAATGGGGCGGGGCGGAGCCCAGCAGCCCCTTCCTGCAGCCTGAAACTGACCCGCTCGCAGACACACGTGCAGCTGAGCCGGCGCCGCACCCCGCAGCCGGGATGAGCCCCGCGCGTCCACGCTGGGACTAACCGCAGGTTTCTATCCAGGTTTCGGCCAGGAAAACCCGAGATCTGGTCATGCCAGAGGAGGTCTGTTCCCTGGCTAGGCTAAGCGTGGGGGAGAGAGTGTTACTTATTGATGAAGTGCAATGAGATGAAGGACCCCCCTCACCCCCCAGCCTTTTAGCTGCGGATCCCGGCGCCCCGCGGGTGTAATTTAAACACGGTGCTCTCGAGTGATCAGTTCGCCTAGGGGAGATTAGGGCGAGATAAACAGAGCGCGCCGGGCTCTTTCCCCCCGCGCCGGCCGAGTCCGCGGGCAGCTGATGCGCCAGATCCCACCGAGCTGTTTAATGTTTCAGGGTTATGACCGCACTGTTTACACGATGTCCTCGGTAATTTATACTGTTATTATTAGCGGAGGGGCTTTAAATTTCCGCTTCACTTGCTCCTTCGAGGTCTGCCTTGTTTGCACTTCAGGTTCGATACCTGGCGATTCCCTTTTGCTCCGCGAAAATAGACACCAGCGGATTTAGGAGCGCTGCCTCGCGGCTCCGGACTGGACGCACAAGAAGCTCGGGCAGGCACCCGCACCGCACAGGGGCGTGGAAACCGTCGGGATCTGCTCTGGGGCGCTGAGAGGACAAGGCAAGACCCCTGCTTTGCAGAGTAGGGGCCGGGGGTGCTCAGCTCCAGCCCTGGAGACAGCAAGTAAGTGTGACCACGGGCCCGACCGCTTAAACTGGGATGCTTGAAGTTATGCACGTGCCTTCATGCTTAGGCCCTGATCCTGCAAACACTTACACACCGGAGGCAGACTGTGTTTGGAGTGGTCCCAGGGACACCTAAGAGGCCATTTAGGGTTTTAAAGGTAGCTGAAAGCCTTAGCAGGCTGGGGTCCTTGGATACCCACTTTCATTAACAGCTGCCAGCCCAGGAAGATGTGGGTGCTTAGCACCTTCGGAAAACAGATGACTTAATTTAAGAGCCTAAATATGGCTTTTCATGCCATATGCTGGTAGCCCTGAACCCTTGTAGTCAAAGGCAAAATCACACTGACTTCTGTCGTGTAAAAATCAGGCCTCTACCACCAAACATTTTGGCCTGGGTAAATACATGGATGCATTTCGTAGTCAGCGGGGGTTTTGGTCAAGCAAGTTCCGCAGAATTCAGGACCAAGTCCACTGTTCTTCTTTTATATCTTCCAGCCTTGCATGCTGTATTATTATTTTCTTGTGATTCGTTAGTGTTTCTTTTTTTTTTTACATTCCACTGCACTGTTACTTCCTGCATTTTATTTTTGATCTCTCAACCCTGGGTGTAATCTGGAGTCTTTTCTTCAAGCAAAATCTCTTTGAAACAAGGGAGGTTGGATCCAGCTCCATATTCCATAGCAAAGGTGAGAAATCAAATAGGAACAAGAGGGTCACAGACCCTTTCTTATTAGGTGAAGGACACAGAATAATAGCTTATCTGCTGCACTTTCCAGTGTGTTACTGATATTACTTCTCTTAATTCCCTCTCCTTTACATTTTCTTTAGATACGCAAATTATTTTTGTCCTTCAGGTAACCCAAATCTGTTTAAAAGTGTGATATATTTAATGTGACTGACTACAAATGGACAAAGGCACAATGAAAGAAAAAACACATTTCTATACCTATGATCCAAAAAAGAAAAAGTGTTGTTGTAATGATTTTAATAGCATTCATATTCAATTCACTTTCTTCACATACTTAGGAACGTTTGCAAAATTTGAAACAAGCACCCATAACTGGCATAAATTAACATCACCCCATTTCTTATGTTCTAATATTTATTGACTTGAGTACATGCCCATTTAGATCAGCTGAAAAGGCGATCTGGAATATTTTCTCATAGTGCTATAAGTAAAACTAGTAAATATCTGTGTATCAGACAGCACATCTAAGATTCCCACTGAAGAACTTTGCCATATAAAAAATGCTCAATTAGTGGCCTGCTCTTATTTCTACAGTCAATAGGTTTTTTGCCATTTGTTCCAGGTCCTATGGCTTAAACTATAGTTATGGGTTATAATGGAGGATATCATGGGGAGGTTTGGTTTGGTTTTGTATTTTGATTACCAAATTTGAAAAAGAAGCAGCATATTATCAACTTTTATAATCCTGAAGTAGGTCAGTATTAACTGCTGCTTGCCCAAGACCTGAAACGAGATACTGTTTTCCTTTTTAACACATTGAAGTCAGTGGGAATTTTGGGTGAACAAAGAGGGCAGAATTCAGGCATAAGTTTTTTATGGTAACACGTTGTACTTCCTAATCACCCTCTTTCTCAATAATTACTAAATTCATTCAATATATCTCCTTGCCTTTTTTATCCAGCAGATGTAGTTGCTTAGAGGCTGGAATTTCCAAGAAGGTTTGATGCTTAAAATGTAGCAAGGAAAGGAAATCAGGAGAAATACAACAACCTGTCACAGAAATAAGAGAGATGCAATTGCAACCTTGCCTAAACCCAAATTAAAGGAAAGGCAGACGCAAAAGATTCACGTGCAAACAATAGTTTCAAGGAGCGAGAATCTTCAGTCTTCCTCTTGGATAGTACTTTATTCTGCCAGTCATTAAGGCTACCTATGAATAAAGTCATCCATATGTTGCCAAGAGAGAGCAACTGTGTAACAAGCATAAAGGCAAATGTTAACTTTATTTATTGGACAAAAAAGTCAAATGTTTCTCTTTACCTGTACTTTTAAGGCAAAGGTTATGGTTTTCAAAGGTATTTAAGTGCTTTAGGAACCTAACACGTTTACATATTTAACAAAATGTTTACCCCTAGTCACAACAACCAGTCAAGCACTCATTTCTAAAATATCTAAACCTGGATACCTGATACATTTCTAAAATGGGGTGAGATTTTTAAGGCTAATTGTTTTGTAATTCAGCAATGTATTTCTGAGTCAGCTGAAACAATTCAGGGATTTGTGTCAAATTCTTTGAATTGTTTTGGCTGAAAAAAGGTTAAGAAATATTCATTTTAGACATTTTTTAAACAAAGGATTTTCTTGTTTACAGGTTTTTTAAATGACATTTTCTTTTTAAATTTCTTGCTTTCATTTTCTTTTAAAAAAGGAGTAGGGGCAGGGGAGAGCCCCACAATAAAATGGTTAGTTCAAATTATTTCCAGTGTGCTTTTTTCGGGAGGGAAAGTGATTCTCCCCTATTATTCACTTCAGTCAGTGAACTGCAAAAAATATGCTATATACATTGTTCTGCTCACCATCCATTCAGCAGGGCAGGGCTATCCTGATGATGCAGAGAAGATTGTGCAACAAATGTTGTTTGTCTGCAGCCCCTTGTGGAGTATAAGTCTTAGGCCGGACCTATGCTACTCTTTTTGTGTGACGGAAATCTCCTGGCCTGTACGATACCAGTGGTATAGTTGCCTGCACAGGAGGGACAGGAAAAACTACAAATTGTGGCTGGTTGACTTCCCCTACAAGATATAGGAAGGTAAGCAAATGGATTATAGCTGCACATGGTCTGTTACCTCAGGTACAGCCTGGATTAAGGTCTCTGGGGAGAGACACCTGCCGTAAAAACTGTAGGTATGGCAAGGTAAGGCAGCTGGTAGAAAGCAGTGGTGGTTTTGCTGGGACACAGCTTCTCTCCAATCAGCTCGTTTTCCCTCTTGCCATCCAGCATGCTTGGCTCGGGTCAGACCACAGATGGGCAATGGATATGAAGTGGTGTTTATTCCCTGTTAACCCACTGTTTGACTTGAAAAATGCACAGTAGCCATTATCCTGTATTACAGTAACAGACGGGGGCAACTTGAATCAACCTACAGTAACAGGAATTATGTATCTCCATCCCTGAAGACACACATGCTACGTATATGGCTTGTCTTGTATTTTTCTGCTGTAAAAATATCGCCTCACTTTCTGCTTCCACACTGATCTTCCTTTCTTCAGTCAAATCCCTTCTAAAAACATGCTTTTTCTGTGGAGCTTTGGGACAATAGTCTAGACTCAATAGTCTGAACAGTTGCTGCACTGCTGTACTCTCAGCCTGTGCATCACATGTGGATAACCTTTGCTATTTGAATTAGACCATTAATTGAAGGACTGGACTGTGTCTTCCTCATTATTTAAAAATTAAAAAAAAACATTGATAACAGCGGGATACAAGGACAGTTTAAAAAAAAAGAATGGCATTATACAGAATATGACAACTTTAGCTTTGAGAAATTCACCAACAGCCAGTTTTCCAAGGTAGTCACACGTGTGGGGTCACAGCTGCTAATGCTTCAACCCTATATAATATTTTGCTGTGTCTTATTGGAATAAGCTGGCTTCATAAAGTCTTTGCCTCAAATCAACATCTGCTCTGGTCTACAGGCAGGGCTTGTACTGATCTACTTCAGTAAAGCATGTAATCTTTTTCACTGAAATAGATAAATAGAAGGAACCCCTAGACTAGATGTAGTTATTTCAATATAAAAGTGTGTGTGTGTTTAAGAGAAGAGCTAAACTGGTATAATTATGTCCACACCAGTGGTTTGCACAAATGTAACCCTATAGATACCAAATCATTATTACCACTGCAGTAC